CCCCAGTTGCCTTAGGAGAACGAGGTTCCTCCAGGAGTCTTCTGGGCTAACCTGTCCCCCTGAGCCAAGGAGACAGCTGGGACAGCTGCTCAGTGAGCCGACTCCCAGAAGGCGGCATGTACACCTTTAGTAGCTCAGATGTGCTGGTTTTCAGCCAGGGACAAGCTTTCTCGAAGATACAGGGTCTGCTCTCAGTAAGAGCACTGCTCCCGTGACACCGAGGTCTGTCGCAAGGAGCCCCTGATACCTCGTGTGCGCTCAGGGTAACTGAATATCGATGGTTTCACATTACACTCTCATTTGAAGTACCAGAAAGGCTGTTGACTTGTAGATCATTTAAAATTCATGCCTCATTTAAAATACAAAATACGGGGGTGTCTGGGTGACTCAGTGGGTTAAAGCCTCTGCCTTCAGCTCAGGTCATGATCCCAGGGTCCTGGGATTGAGCCCCGCATCAGGTCTCTGCTCAGCAGGGAGCCTGCTTCCCCCTCTCTCTCTGTGGGCCTCGCTGCCTACTTATGATCTCTGTCTGTCAAATAAATAAATAAAATCTTTAAAAAAATAAAATACAAAATATGAATTGACATAATTACCATGGGGTCCAGAGATTTCTGTTCAGCCAACACATTTATTCATTGATCCTTCTCTTTAAACATACTGTGGGCTTTTGGAATACATTTTGCTGCTATCACAGCATAGGATCACTTAATTTTTAAGTTTTTACTTAAATTCCAGGTGGCTAACAGACAGTGTAATATTAGTTTCAGATATGTTCAGTGATTCAACCCTTCCGTACAACATCCCGTGCTCATCACGACAAATGCACTCCTTAATCCCCAGGATCACTTAACATACGAATTCCGGTCTATGGCCTTGGTAAAACAATAGAACATTCCGTGTGGCTCCAGAAGAAACAACGATGTGTTCCAGTCCTTCAACAGTCGTGGGCTTAAGAAACTCTAGAGTTTTGATAGAGTATTTATTGCTTAGCGATTTCATGAGTCTTCTAAGAGACCCTCTGGGCTGCTGACTTTAGAACTTGACCTCCAAGTAAAATGAGACGCCACTATATTGTAATACCTTCACGCCTCATTTCCTTTGAATCTAGAAGCTTCACTTTTAACTCTTGTTTTAAATTTTGTTCTATTTTAGCTTTGTTCGATTTCACTTTCTTTTTGTGCATATTCTCCTCATGAAAAAACATTTTAAAAATGTAAGTAATTGCTTTTTTGGACTTTGTAGACCAGTTTTATTTCACTAAAAAACAGGTTTTCAGTAATTTAATAGAGGCACCTAGGTGGCTTGGTCAGTTAAGTGTATGCCTGCAGCTCAGGTCATGATATCAGGGTCCTGGGATCGAGTCCCATGGTGGGGGGGGGGGTTCCCTGCTCAGCAGGAAGTCTGCTTCTCCCTCTCCTCCCTTCCCCCCAACTCATGCTCTTGCTCACTTTCTCTCTCTCAAATAAAGAGATAAAATCTTCAAAAATAATAATTTAATAATTCTAGCCAGTCTCCTAGACTTAAGAAAGATATGCTATCTAACTTTGACCAACTCCACTTCTATGAACCAGGCTCCCCATAGCTACAAAATTAATATAATGAAGCATGAGGTCACTACATCCTCCAAGTCCATGTCACTCAGCTATTTTATGGTGTACCTACTCAGCAGGAGGTTGGCAGCAATATAACAATTGGTCAGAGTTATTTACCACATCTGTTCTGTCCAGTACCATAGCGACTGGTTATAGGTGGCTATTTAAATTAACTAAAATTAAGAATTTATGACCTCAGTGGCACTAGTTACATTTCAGCTGCTTAGTAGCTGCACGGGGCTGCCAGCTACTAGACCTGAGAAGCATGTATATGGAACATTCTCACCATCATAGGGGCGCCTGGTGGCTCAGTCGGTTAAGCTGTGGCCTTTGGCTCAGGTCATGATCCCAGGGTCCTGGGATCGAGTCCTGCATCAGGCTCCTTGCTTCTCCCTCTCCCTCTGCTGCTCACCCTGCTCGTTCTTTCTCTCTCTGTCTCGAATAAAAATTTTTTAAAAAGAGAGAGAACAGTCCCACCATCACAGAAAGTTGCCATCAGACACCTCTGTTCCAGAGTGTTTCCATTTCTTAAATATACATTCAAGAGGTCTGGGAGAGAATAAATGTAGAATATATTCAGAGTTATGATCTTGGTGAAGATGAAGATTTAACATGACACTAGTTCAAAAATGATCAAAGATATTAGCATCAACACCAGACTTTGTGAAGGGGCTTATTAACATGTTAAGCTATTGTGCATAGTACACAAAGAACGGTCCTATTTCCAGAAGACACCGTGTGTAGCCGTTCACACCTTTACGTCTGCCTTTCCCTTTGTGTAGAATAACCTTTCCTTTCATTACTTATTAAAACCTTTCCTGTCCTTCAGGCGTGACTCAACTACCTCTGTACATGTCAGCAGCTCTTGCTGATTTCCCTGCCGTTCCCTGTGCTGCACCATCTTCTGTCTTGTGGTAGTGTTTATGCAGAGCTTTATCACACACACTCTTCAGTCACAATTACGTGATGTGTCATTGTCCCCACCACCTCCGAAGTGCATTGTTCCAGAAGTGCCCAAAGTCCTTCGCCTGTCGTAACACCTTGAAAATGCTTGCCATCGGTGTACATTAGCCATTCGGTAGAGGTTTGTGGAACGCCTGCTGCGCGCAGGTCACTCTCCTAGACCTTAGGGATGGGAGGACAAATGATGTGGTGAATGAAGAAGTTGGTAAATACTTACAGAGTCAGGGAAAGCCAGGAGTGATTAATGGATGGGCATTCATAATTTATTTTACCACTTTGTTTGCTTTCTAAAAACTGCCGTTTAGAACAAAGCAGTATAAGTGAATATCATGTTCAGATCAAGATCATTGGGGTGAGCTTGGCTCTTCTTTTTTTCTTTAATGATTGCACTTCCCCCCCAAAGCGAGCAGAGGCACAGCAGGAAGTCCCTTGCCTACGGACATAATATAAATATGTCGTATGCGATGGGAGCTGCCTTATCAGGGCAATTTTTAATTTTTATATTAAAAACAAAAGATATATTAACCAAGATCATCTTTTTATTTATATTCACTTGTACACGTGAGTGAAAAAAAAGAATTGCAGTAGCAGTCCGGTAAGGGTTTTGGTCTTGGAATGTCTAGATGTGTCCGCCGATCACTTGATTTATCCAGCACGGGGCTGCAGGACGCACACCGGGCAGTGGGGGGGTGCATCTCTTAGACTCACGTTGGACAGCAGTGCACCTGCCAGAGCTCTCAGGGGAGCACCCTCATCTTCTCCAGGCAGAGCAAGACTGGGGGCAGAGCATCAAAAGTCTGGAATAACAGGCGGCAGATACAAGTACTTGTTGGGAAGCGTGGAGGTCTGGCATCTGAAGGTGAGGAGGAGAAACAAAACACCCAACCAGGATTCATGCAGCCGGCGCTTTTCTGCTCTTCTACACCTTGTGTTTGGGTCATCTGTCATGTTTGGGTGGCGGCAAATTTCCTCTGGGAATTTTAAAAAACATAATTACACAGCTCACAAAGTCAGTCTGGCACCTGCTTGAAATTCCCCAAATACTTTCAAATAAACATTAGTCAGAGACGAAAAATGTGTATTTCTGAATGCCCTAAAGAATTGGAAGTTGGTGTCAAGGAGGTATTTGTCCTTGTGCTCATCACAGCGTCGTTCCCAGCAGTGAAAAGGTAGGGACAACACAAGTGCCCAGTGGTGGATGAATGGATAAGAAAAAATATGGTGGATGCGTACAATGGAATAGGAAGGAAATTCAGACATAGGCCACCACGTGGATGAACCTTGAATTTCATGCTCACTGAAATAACCCAAATGCAAAAAGACAAATGTTGTCTGATTCTACTTGTATGAGGTCGCTGGCATAGCCAGATTCAGAGAGATGGAAGGTAGATAAGCTGAGGGCAGGGAACTAGTCGAGTTTGTGTTTAATGGGCAACGTTTTGGAGTAGGCCATGGAAGATTTCTGCCCCTTGGTTGGCATTCATTCCACCAGCGGGCACTTGGTCCAACAGCTGTTCGCAAACAGTAAATCCACTAACTGCATGACGCCTCTGTATGTTCTCTGCACAGTGAAATTATGAATGATTTTGTCAAATGATTTGCATAAATAAGAGTCACTTTATCTATGGCATATCCCTTTCCGAATGAACCACTGTTGTTTCTCCAGATCATTTGCAGTATTTTACCAGCTGTCCGTATCCGGGCTTCCCGTCCAGCATCATGGAAGGCTGTTTCTTTCCACCCCATACACTCATTTGCCCATATCTAGCCTTCTTGGATTCTTTCCCAGCCTCCATGATTTCTCATAATTTGCTAAAGTGACACTAGGTCCAACCTCTGATTTCCCATTAAAGTCATCACATCAACATTTAACATCAGCCCATTCCAGGGCGCCTGGGTGGCTCAGTCGGTTAAGTATCTGACTCTTGGTTTCAGCTCAGGTCATGACCTCAGGGTCATGAGTTTGAGCCCAGCATCATGCTCTGTGGAGTCTGCTTGAGATTCTCTCTGTCCCACACCCCCGCCCTGGCTCGTGCTCTTTGCTCTCTCTCTTTAAATAAATAAATAAAATCTTAAAAAAACATATATCAGCCCATTCCTACTCACAAAAAAATATACTTAAACACCAGCATGTAAGTATTTGTTTTAGGAGGCTCCTGTTTGTAAAACTACAGTATAAGGTACATTTTTTTAAAAAACAATGCAATAGATAAAAATGATTAACTAGATAAGCAACTTTTGGGTTAACTGAACATCTAAAGCTTCTTGATACTTCTTCATACTTTAAGGGTGATAGAGGAAAGAGTATTTGCTTCCAGTGCCGGGGCTGTTGAGGACAAAATCTGGTAGGAAATTTTAACGACTGCAGAAAAGCTCATTAAGCTTTCCCTCAATTCTTTAATCAGATTAACATTAACGGTTTTGGTGTCATTTGTGTTTTTGCAGCTCCCAATTGTAGAAAAGATAAGAACCATTGCGCAGACTGTGTATGGAGCCAAAGATATCGAACTGTCTCCTGAGGCACAGTCCAAAATAGATCGTTACACGCAACAGGTAAAAGTTACACTTCAGGGGAAAAAAATCCTTCTCGGACTCTTAAAATACTCACCTTGGGGGCACCTGGGTGGCTCAGTGGGTTAAAGCCTCTGCCTTCGGCTCAGGTCTTGTCCCAGGGTCCTGGGATCGAGCCTTGCATCGGGCTCTCTGCTCAATGGGGAGCCTGCTTCCTCCTCTCTCTCTGCCTGCCTCTCTGCCTACTTGTGATCTCTGTCTGTCAAATAAATAAATAAAATCTTAAAAAAAAAAATACTCACCTTGATGTGAGGACTGTTAAAAGTCTCACCAGCTGAATGTGGCTTAATCTCCTTGGTCTACAAAAAGTGAATTAACATCCTTGGGTAGTTTGTTGACTATAAATAGAACGTGATAGAGAGGGCATGTGCCCTCTGATGGATACATCATTGACTTATACAGTTACAAAGTGTCTGGTATGGGTGGGGTCCTATCTGTGACATGTGATTGGTGGTTAGTCCTTCCTGCTCAGCCAGAAACATTGAACTTCTTAGATGTGTGGCTGTGGCGTCAGGGCTGGATGATCTGTAGTGCTTCCTCTTCATTGCAGGGCTCTTACTGCCTTAAAAATGTTAACAGAGTTCCAGGGAAGGCAAGTCATTGTGCAGCATTTAAAGACAGGGGTGTTCAGTGTTCCTTTTTTTATGCAAGTGGTTCATGACTTGGTGTTGAGATCGTTCACCAAAGGTGAAAGTTTGGTCATCTTCTACCTCTAGAGAGTGACAGAGGCAAATCGGCAAGCAGCTTGAAGATGACTGGGACTCAGCAGCCTGAGTCTGGTCCAAAAATGATCCTGTTTCAGAAACTACATCCACTGCAGCTTGTTCAGCTACCCCCATCGGAGTGACCGCAAGCCCCAAATGCCCCCTCCGTTTGCCACAATAGTATAGAAATCAAAGCATTTCCAAGAGCTTCATTAGGAGTAGCACTGATCGACTTTTTAAAATTCCCAACTCCTAAGTCCTATTTGTAAATTGTATTTGATATTATGTTAAATACTACCAGTCCTGACCAGCATATTCTCCCTGGTTTGGTAAAATGGTCAGTAACTTGTTTTTTCTTAGAATTTTCCACATATGCCCTCAGCTTGTGCTTTTAAAAAATAAATAATTCCCTTGGGCCACCTGGGTAGCTCAGTCAGTTAAGTGTCTGACTCTTGATTTTAGCTCAGTTCATGATCTCAAGGTCATGGGGTTGAGCCCTGCATCAGGCTCCACGGTCAGTGGAGGGTCTGCTTGAAATTCTCTCCTTCTCTGACTGCCACTCCCTCTGCATGCACATGTGTGTGCTCTCTCTCTCTCTCTCTCTCTCAAATAAATAAATCTTTACAAAATAAATAATTCCCAGAATTGTTCTAAACATTGGTTGGGTCCGCAGTGAAATTTCACTCATGTGGTAATGAAATGAGTAAAGTAAGTTCCTTGTCATAATAATTTTTTTTTCACGAGTTTTTAATAATATTTAAGGACTATTATTTATTCTAACATTAGTTTATTCCCTTTTTTTTAGTCTTAAAAACTTTTATATGAACTAATATGGTGCTAGTATATACCATACTGGTTTTTTCTTTTTTTAAAATATCTATACTGGCAAAAACACTAAATTGGAAACCTACATCAATTCAAATTTTTTCACTCGAGTGATCTCTGAAACCCAAAATTCCTGCTCCCATTTCTGTAGAGCAGTTGTGATTGTCCCCCAGCAGAATTCTGATCATTAGATGAGAGTGTTCCAGCATTTCAAAAAAAGAATAGCCCCATCCCCCAAATGAAAATATCCTAAAATCGTCCAAATACTTTTAAACTGAATCATAAGAAAGTCTACATTTGTTACCTCTGAAGACTGTGTTCCTTTTATCCCTGTCTACTGAGGGAATATTCCTTAAAAGTTATGTGTCCAGTATGTGGTTGCCATTAATTAACAAAGTCTCTAAAGGGACACTATGTACCCTTTAATCGGAACCAGGCTGCGAGGACACTGTCCTTTTTGTGAGACCCACATGTGACTTCTGCCCTTTCACCTTTGGAATTCTGGGTCAGGCATCGCCTTTGGTCCTTAAAAATAAGAGGCTTAAAAAGTGACCTCATCTTCGTTCATATAATGTAATCACAGATCAAATAGCCATGATTCATAAACCAACACAAAGGGACCCTTTGCTTCCTGACGGCTCCCAAAAATGAGTGAACAACGTGACTGAGAGCCTCATTCCGGTCCTTTCTCCAGATTACCTTGCTGAGCCCCGGATATTAATATCCTTGGAAATAGTTTCGACAGCTGCTGTTGCTTCTACTTTGCCTGAAAATAGCCATACTTTCTCCCAAACACACACTTCATTCCACCTTCCTTAAGGAGAATTCTCCACAATAAATAACAGACACCCTCAACCACGGGACGTTCTCGTGGAGGTGAGGGTTCGTCCCATCTTCGTGCTCAGCGAACCAGCACCTGGCACGTGCCGATGCTGAGCCTCAGGGACGGTGTGTGCTACAAGTCGAACACATGCAGGAGACTGATTCGTGCTCAGTGAACACGTTTCCTTTCCTTTCTCACAGGGATTTGGAAATTTGCCCATCTGCATGGCCAAGACCCACCTTTCTCTGTCTCACCAGCCTGATAAGAAAGGCGTACCCAGAGATTTCATTTTGCCCATCAGTGATGTCCGGGCCAGCATAGGCGCGGGGTTCATCTACCCTTTGGTTGGAACGGTGAGTGACATTCTCCAAAAGCCTTCCCCAGGCTGTGCTGTGCGATGCCTTAAATCCTTATGTTCTGCCTACGCTTTGCGAATCAGGTGTTGGGAAGTCATAGTATTTGCTGTTTTTCTAAATGTTCTCTGCCGCCGTATAAAACTCCTCTAGCGTCATGGTTTGGGTTTTTCTTTTTCTTTTTTTTTAAGAGCAGGTGTTCGGGATCTCTTGAGTCATAAAACTGATTCCCCTCATAGAACTCAGAAGAGAATAACTTGGTATAATTCAGCCTGATATTTAAACAGTGGCATGGCTTAGTCTACTGTCTCTGGACATTTTTCACTTTATTATACTCAAAATGATAAGATTTTACTCTGGTCAGAAAAATGGAGGTGACTGCTCATGTCAGACACCTCCCAAGGCTGGGAAAATCACCGTGTCACCGTCTGCCTTCCTCTGCAGCACATTAAGCGGGAAGCTCTGCCTTAGAAAATGAGCGAGTTCAATGAGTTCATTTTTAACCGTGTGATGGGATTGCATTGGTATAGGATGATAATTATGTTATTTCAGTTTTTTTATGGATGGAAGGGAGATACCAAAGATGGGAAAATTTATCAAAGCACTTAAAATTGATGATGTTGGGGTTCATACATAAAACGCTTCATTATGGCCACACCTACCTTCCATTGGTAACCATCAATGGCCAAAATCCAACTTCTCATCCTTGGAGTGCTCCTGGATTAGATTTAGAGCAAAAAAATTCTAAGTCGTCAAGATCCTTACTGTCGTTGTCTCAGGTCGATCCAAGTCCAAGCAGGAAACAGTAGAACAATGTTAATAAGCTGTGTGGATCTGTTGTGGTGTAACTAAGCAATGGGTAAGCAAAAGTACAGAAAACGTACAGAATTTTTGCCTTGATGTTTACATACTAATATTGGGCAAAATGTTTTCAGTAAGCATTTCTGGAATTCTTCATTGCATCTGAGGCGTGGAGATGCCAAGAGGCATATGAGGAGCACAGGTTTGCCCCCCACAGAGGCATCTAGAAAGTGTGGTATTGGCATTCCGAACGCACTCCGCACAGGAGCAGCAAAAGCAGCTTCTGACTGAGGAGGGAGAGGAGGGTATGTGGAAGAAGGGAGTCGAGAACGCTTCATAAAAGCCTCAACCTCTGACCTAGAGAAACACTGAATTTCAACTCAAGGACACCAAAGTACATGCCAGACCCAGAGAAGTCCGGTGTGGCTGGGGTAGGACAGGGTAGGGAGCCTGAGAAATGTTGGGACAGCAGGACAGGGCCAAGCTGTTCCAGAACTTTATTACCATTGATGGGCACTTGGGTTTTCTCCTGTGCACACTGCGGAGTCACTGTCGGATGGTTTCTGGTGTTTGTTTTGGGATTTTGTATTTTTTTTATAAGAAGAAGAAAGTGATCTGATTTTTGTGTTAGAAAAAGAGCTCTGGCAGCCGATGGACCATGTTCAGAGGGCTGAGAGCCAGAGCCAGGGAAATACCAGTTGAAGCCAGAGTTCACCAAAGTCAACACTGGGATCACTGAAGCTAATACAGCGAGAGAGGTGACTTGGAGACATATGTAAGGGTAGCCACCTACACGTGGGGCCATGGGGCTGGCCACTTGTAGCTTGCCTGGGATGATGGTGCCGTCGGTCCTGGAAGGAACATGGCAGGAGGCAGATGGACAGAGCCGGAAATAAGTCTGGCTTGGATGTGGAGAACTGCGAGGGCTAACGGGATATATAAAGTGGTGTATGGGTCTGTTAGAAATACAGACAGAATGCACAACACTCAGAGGAAAGCAATAGGAAGGAAGGCCTTGAGAGTTTTAAGAACATAGATGAAGGCAGGTGTTGAACAGGGCAGATGCAAGGATAAGCACAACAGAAACGAGACGAGGGTAATGGACAATACTCTAAAAATGTCTACATTTACAGAGCCCTCCGAGGAGTGTGGGAGGCCCCGTCGAAGGTCTAGTGGGGAGACCAGGGAATCCCGCAGGAGTCTGTGGGAGGTGTAGCAACAGTGTTGGTACAGGGAGAAGGGTTGAAATTTTATGGGTGTTGAATGACGTTTCCAGAAGGGAGGAGGGGCATGACTGTAGATCGGCACAAGAGAACTTTCTGGGGTGATGGAAATACTCTATTTTTATTATTTTGATTGTGGTGATAGTTCCATGACTATATACCTTTGTCAAAACTCATAGACCTACACACCTAAAAAGGATGGATTTTATTGAGTATAACTTAATTATACCTCAGTTAACAAAAATGGATAGTGACAAGAGCTTGCCTTTATATTGCTTAGAAGGGGCTCAGTGATTGCAACTCCTTAGTGCTGAAAGTCTCCTGAGCTTTGGTCAGTGAAGGCCTTTGCTTAGGAATGAGAGCGCAGCCCAGAGAGACTGGAAGACCGAGAGACAGGGGGCCGTGCCCGGGGAGGGGGGTGCAGAACTGAGGAGAAAATCAGCCTCCTTCCAAATCTATCCTGTCTTGCTCTATACCCCACAGATTCCGAACCCCACAGTAGCTCACCCAACAAATTCATTCATTCATTTACTCATTCATTCATTCATTCAACGAGTGTGCATACAGCAGTTGTGCTCAGCACTCTGGGAACTCCCCAAGTTAAGAAGCCTTCCACTTCAGTCAGCCTACAGCTAGTAGAAGTAGATGGAACTGAATTAGAAAGAAAATGGTTTGGTATAAAAATCAGGAACAAGTTGGGGCGCCTGGGTGGCTCTGTGGGTTAAAGCGTCTGCCTTCGGCTCAGGTCATGGTCTCAGGGTCCTGGGATCGAGCCCTGCTGTTCAGGAGGGAGCCCGCTTCCGTCCCTCTCTCTCTGCCTGTCTCTTTGCCTACTTGTGATCTCTCTCTCTCTCTGTCAAATAAATAAAATCTTTAAAAAAAATTAGTAACCGGTAATTAATAACCTTAATAGTTCTGAGCGTTTAATAGTCATTAAATAAAAATCATCATATAATTTACAATCCTCTGGTCACTAAACAAACACATGCCGTGGGTCTTCTCCCATCCCAGCACCACTGCATCCACATGTGAGAGCCGTTCTGGGGCACCAGAATTCTAGAGCTACCACTGTTGCCCGTGTGGGACACTGAATGCAGGAAAGCGGTATGGATTCATCCCTGGGGGATGGCCGTGGGCGCACTGGGTGTCCCGAAGAGAGCCCTCTGCCACCGTGTGGCGCCCCCGCCTCAGGGCAAGTCCAGGAACATCAGTGAAACAATCCAGTGTGAGGAGCCAGGGAGGAAGTGGTGTCTGACTAAAGAAGTTCCTGGAGGTCAGGAAACGGTCATGGTCACGTGGAGGCGGTGGCCTTAGAGGTCGGCTTTCCATGCCAGCGGGAAGTTGCTCATGGATCAGGGCAAATGCACCGTTGGGAGGCCAGGATCGCCTAATAAGGGCTGGTATTTACTTTTACTTGACCCCATTCTGGCCCCTGCCACAGTCTGCTGAAATGCTTCTAACATTCATCACCCGTGCGGGAGACACAGTGGAGTAATTTCCTGCCGAGATGACCGAGGGAAAGGGGAACAGGGACACCGGAGGGGCTGGTTCCTGCAGGTGGGAAAATTCTAGCATCGTGAGTCACTCTTACTCTAAATCACGACACGTGTGCTTATTAGAGTACTTTTGAAACACGTATCTGTCCGCTCCGGAAGGAAAGCCCAAACTCAGGCCTCAAAATCAGAGGCCACTCTCATTCTTCCTGCGGTGTCTATTCATTCTCTCAGTCCCTCATACCACCCCGTGGAGGTGAATGAGCTCAAGTCCTTCCCTAATGGGTCTTCCGATACACCCTAGCAAAAGAAACCCTACAAGTACAGAAAGCTGTGGACTGGAGAACAAAGGAGAAGCATCCTCTGGCTCCCCAGTAGGTCTGTAAGGGGGAAAGGTCAAAAAAAACAAGTCTGTCCTCCAACAATAAACATCTCCAGCCCCAGCATCTGCTGACGTGGAGCGACCATGTGGTGAAATGCTGGGGAGCTCGGTCTTCCCCCTCCACATTTAGCTTGGTAAGAAAAATGGACTGGTTAACCTCCCCTCCCCCACCATCTTTACTTATAGGCCGATGTTTTTTGCCATTTAAATATTTCATCATGTTCTATTGACTTATTACACAAGATGACAATATGATAATAATACCATTAACTGCCAGCGACATTTCACCAGGACGTTTCACTTCCCCGAGCTGTTTGGATGGAAACACCCAGTATAAGGATTACTCAGCTTGCGGACTTCTGAGGCCTTTGCTCCCACACTAACCTCATTCAGTGTTTCCCATCTGGCTCTAGCTGATTTTTCTTTCATAAAATAAGTCTTCATTCCTACTAAGTGCCATCTGTATTCTTGGTTCTCTTTAGTGACATACTTATATATCATTTCTGGCTTATTACTTTTTTAAGATTTTATTTATTTATTTGACAGAGACAGAGCTAGAGAGGGAAAGCAGGCAGGGGGATAGGAAAGGAAGAAGCAGGCTTCCCACCTAGCAGGGAGCCCCACGTGGGGCTCGATCCCAGGACCCTGGGATCATGACCTGAGCCGCAGGCAGATGCTTAATGACTGAGCCACCCAGGTGTCCCTATTTCTGGCTTATTATTGAAAGCTCCAAAATAGTACAAGATTCTTGCCCAGCTCATCACTACCCAGTGCATCTCCTTGTAAGAAATAGTTTGGCGAATATAGATCTTTGATGTGGGAAGAAAAGAGCAGATTGTTTTCAAGATTTTCCTACCCTGTATTCTACAGATTATCCTGTTACATTATGTTTCCAAAATTCTTTCAAGGCTTGTGGTTTATGGTGTTCAATAAACCTAATAGCTTATTACATTTCTCCAAAACAATCTTGGGCCAAAAGAAATCTAGTAGGTGGTCTTTGTCTTCTGGTCACATTGTTTTGATACTGTCTTTAAGTTTCTGTAATTTACAAGGGCTCTTTAATCATGTGGCATAAATTGCGTGACATAAAAATATTAGCCT